AATATAAACGTAGAAAGGTCCTCAGTCAACGGGGCGCAGGGTTGCTCTGTACCTGTCCTTCCCTTGCCTCGGGTGTCTCCCCAGGGCCGTCCCCTGGGCAGCGGTTCCAGTGCCGCAGCTATTGTTTTACCTGAAACAATCCATGGTTGCAGTTATTGTCACTTCACTTCTCGTTTTTGTAAGTTTCAATCCCGACAGGGCAGCAGAGGTCCAAAGTTTGCATCTCTTCGAGAGCCAATACTTCAGCTCTTTGCCCACCTATACAGCAAAACTGGGTGGGTTCATAGCCCCCTTGCACCTGGAAGGTATTCTTCACAGTGGTGACTGCCCGATACTTAGGTCAAGGTTATTATCAGGTACAAATTGGCATCACGTAGAGCTGGAATAATTTATTCTGAGTGTTAATTAAAAAAAAAAAAATCCCCATGGTATGATTTTGCAGGCCTTGGTGCATTCTGCAGGGAGGTAAGCAGCATGAGGGATGGTAGAAAACAGGGGAGTGCACTAATGCCTGAAATTTGTTGGGGAAAATGAAAGGAGGTTGGTTGAAGTGTGGTTAAAAAAAGATTCGCCTGGAAAACCAAACATCTCTGGCTGACAGTCAAAACTGCACTGTCAGCATAATGGCTTTGATGCAAAGGCTAAGTGTGTCATCCCCCACACCCCCCAGCAGCGCGCAGTGGGACAGTAATGAGTGTTTTAGATAAGAAATCATTAAATGTTGAGCTGTCTTGGAGCGGGAAGGGGAAAATGAGGTTGCAAATACTGTGACTAGGCCTCATTAGTGAGATACCTGTCTTGGCCAAGGAGTTTCTGATCTCTTCGCAATTACTCCTGTTTCACCAGGATCTGTTGGGTGGTTGTTTTATTTTTTTTTTAAATACACATGGCTGGTCTGCACGTTCGGCATGTTTGCATTCAATGGGGGACCCAGGAACAGATCTTCCCCTGTCACCTGAGAAGAGCAGCATTTTTCTTGGAGCAGCATCTACCGTCTCAGCAAGGAGCTGTGCTGCCAGCGCAGCAGACACCGCTCTACCAGAACACCTCAACCCAAATCCCCAGCGTTTCTTGCTCTTCTCGTCCTACTTCGGGGAGCCTTACAAAGGCTCCTTTCTCCTGCGCTACAGTCGCGGCTGCGCTAATCTCGGCGCGGCACAGTTTCGCTGGCACACGTGCTGCATCCCTTGCTGTTCTGTCCCGGCTTCACGCAGGTGCGTGAAGTGCGAGGTTTGACCTTTCACGCAGTGCGAGGTTTGACCTTTCGCTGGAGTGCAGGTTTTGCGGGTATCTGTAGCTACCGTTTCAGAAGAGAGAATAGTTCCTGACCCTGGCCCTCTTCTGATGGCAGGGGAAGAAATAGCCTTGTTTGTCACACAAGGAAGTGGAAGTTAGACGCTGTTGATATTGGCGAGGTGATCGCTCTGGATGCTTTTGTATGTAAGAACTGTAAAGTTAAATAGGGGCGGGGGTTGGGGGGAATAGTAGGCTGAATACCTGTGAGAACATGGGAGATGGAGAGAGGTGGATTTGGACAGAGTCATATCACGCTTCCATTTCTAGCCCGTCCTTGAGCTAATGTTTGTCATGCTCCCAATAGCTATGTCCCATGGGGGGCTGTTGGATGCCCAATACGAAGCAGGTGCATCTCCCTTCAGTCTGATCCATGGCCCCCCAAAAACCAGCTGTGTGAGCAGCGGCTCTGCAATGGCTCACTTCAAACTAGCTTGTGTCGTACCATTGGGTCTTCGGTGTCTCGTAAAGCGCAGGCACCAAGCAAACTCTTCTAGGGTGGGGACGTGCAGAATCTCTCTCTCTCCTGTATCAGCTCTCTGATGGCCAACAAGGGCTGAGCGCTGCGGGCTGTTCCTCGGTCAGGATGACAGGATTCCTCTTCTCTACGCAGCTATGTATTTTGGTGAAACTTGCAGGTACTTTGATCCTACTCTGGTGAAACTGACTTGAAATGTGCGGAGAGAAAGCTGGCGATGGCAGTGTCGGATGAGCTTCATTGCCTTAGATACCAGGCTACAAACACCACCAGAGCTGAGTCTGATGGGCAATTTCTCAGCTTCCACCAGTAACATCGCAGGCTGTGGGAAATGATTTCCAGTCTCACCCTCTGCAGGTAACCCCCCAGATCCCAAGCGGTGCATGCCTGGGCCTTCGTACGCATGACGGATGTTGCTCAGTTACCACCTAGGTTTTCTCCCTGGAGGAATTATGTATTTTGTAAGCACCATCTCCAACATAAAAATACAAATGAAAACCAAACTTTGCCCTGTAAAACATGGCTGTTGTCTCAACTCAGCTATTGATAGTGCTCAGAGTTACACTATATTTAATGCTGCCGCTAAGGTATCTCGATGTTGGAGATTGTGTGAACAGCCTCGTTTTGCTGGGTGGTCTCTTTGTCCCAGTAGTACTGACACAGTGAATATCCAGAAGTCTGCAGCACCTGTACACACCTTTTCATGCATAGCCGTAAAGTCTCCAGAGTCTCTCTCAGCAGTATTGGAGCGTTTCTGATATTTGGGAGCATGGTTCTCGGTTGCTGGTTTTTTTAAAAACTTCAGCTGCTGGAATCCGGGGATTGCACAAGGGTCTTTCTGTCACTCAGAGAAAATCCCAAACACTTCTCATTCTCACAATTGTACAGGAAAATTGGAAAATACTATCTGAAGTTACCTGAAGGCTCAGAAACTGGGCGGAAAATGAAAGGAACCCCCAAATCATTTTGTTTAAGATCTCCTCTGCCCCCACATCCCCATGGCTGTTGAGGAAAACTGTCTCAGGGACGTTGGAGGAGGCGAGTGGTAATTTGCATCTAGACTGTTTTGGCCCTCCAAAGGAATTATGTATCTTCTCACGTACAAAGTCCTCCACGCTCCTGCCGTTGCTTCCGTCTCTGCAGGCATCTCTGGCACCCCCACTCCCACTGTCTGTTTGATCAAAGCTTCCCCTCTTCTCCTTTTATCATTTTTGCGTGCTTTAGACTCTCTGCCTCCTCTGCTGCAGCGCATGCCCAGAGCCACCTTCCAGTCAAACATACTTCGAGTTCCCCGTGTCTTTTCCGTCAAGAGCCTTTAGGGACTACGTGGGAGAGTCAGGTTCTGACACTCGTCTCCTCCGTTCAGTTTATGTTGTTTAACACGTGCAGCTGGGCACACGGCTAACCCTGGTGTACCACAAATTAGGTGGGGAAGTACAGGTATTTGTAATATTCAATGTACAAATGTTAAATGAATGCCCGGGGAAGAAGAGGGCATGCCCATACTGTGCCTCCCCAGCACTCTTCTGGCCTCCAGCTGTTTCCAGCTCAGGATCCTCCTGGTCTGGATGTGTGGAGCTGTCCCCCCGGAGAGGATGGGCCATCTCAGGAGAAACTCAGAGTGGAGACTGAGAGCTGGCTGGGTTTCTCCTCCCCTTCTTTTGCAAGGTTTTGAAGGGTAGACTGAGGAGATGAGCCTTGTGGTGTCTGTAGGGGGTGAATGGGACTCCTGTTTTGTCATGGAAAACTGCTCAAAAAGCCACAAGCAGAGTGTGATGGGCAATGGCAGAACCCACTGGTACTTGGGGTTTCAGTGCTTCTTGGTGGTCTCGCCGTGGGCTGGTCTGTTCTGTCTACGGAGCTTTTTTCTGCACTGTAGTTCACTGACAGGAGAGACACAACTGCTTTGTGAGCCGCTCCCTCTGCCGAAGCCCCTGGGACAGCCACGGATCAACACCCAGCTACCTGGATGGACGGATACAGGCAGGTGGAGCAGTCGTGACCCTGTCTCCTGACTCGCGGCTTCCCACACAACTTGTACGCCACCCTGCAGCCCCGGGGGTCGCTGGTGGAACAGGTCCAGTTGGCACCATCGCATTCGGCTACTTAGAATGACTCAAGGAAAGAGTCATGTTCGAGAAACCAAAAGCAACCCACAACCACCCCACGTCACAAGACGCCTGTGACAGCTCCCTGCAGCACTGACACTGTGCCACGGTTGTTCGGGGCTCTTGCAAATTTTATTCCAGGATCACGGGGACCTGCATGGTAAGGTGCTGGTGTGGGCCACCCCTCTGCTCCAAAATGAGCCCAACGTCACCTAAATTCCCCCCAAAGGATGCCTGCCCAGCCTGTTCTTAAAAACCTCCAGTGATGGAGACTCTGGTGCTTCCCCAGGCAATCTACTTGAGTAATTAACTGTCTGTTCTGTTAGAAAGTGTTTCCTAATGTCTAGCATCAATCTTGCTCCTTGCAATTTAAACCCCATTACTCCTTGCCCTATTCCCCAGTGGACGTGGCAAACGATTGATTCCCGTCCTCAATCGCATCGCCCTGCACCCCCAAGAGAGAAAGTCTCGGGCCGATTTATGACGTTGCCTCTGCCCGCGGAGATGGCTCTCCTGAGCACTGTCACGCCGGCACAGGGGAAAACAGAAAGGAAAGATCTTTTGAGGTCGGGGGGTTGGCATGCTGCACTGCTAGAAACGGGACCCTTAGAAAGCACCCAGGTTTGTGATGGCTGCGAGCCCGGAGCCGGGGAGCGGGGTGGTAGGGTGGATTTGTGGCACGTTCCCCGCGTGCTCCCCAGCTGCGCTGGGGGTGACCGCGGCACCCGTGGGTGCTGGGGGGCTGCAGGTTTGGGCAGGTGGGGAGAGCGGCTGCAGTGGCACCAGCGGGATTCAGGGTGACAGGGGAGAGTTTGACCCATCGCGGGGGACCCCTCCTGGTCCAGACCTGGCGTCCTGGCCCCATCCCCGCCTCCGGTGCCTTCCCACCCTCCTGTCCCACTGTCCCTGCAGCCCGTGGGGCTGCCCCATTGTGTCCGGCCGTGCCACCGATGTGCATCACTTTGCGTAACTGGAGCGATGCAGCCCCCCGGGGCTGACCCTCATCCCCTCTGGCCCCCCATACAGACTTGTTCCTTTAAGCCTAGCTCAGAAATGACCAGGCTGATCCCTCCCACCTGCCCGCTCCCCCTGGCCTGGCCCTGACGTCAGGGGAAGGCGTGCGGATGCGTGTGTGTGTGTGTGCGAGGCGCACATCATACACACATCAGATACCGCAGATCCATCAGCGGGCAGCCGGCAGGCAGGCAGGCAGGCAGCCAGCCGGAGAAAGCCCCCCAGAGCCAGGCTGCAGGCGAGACCGCTGCTCCTCGCAAGGTAGTGGAGGAGCGTTTGGCCCCGCCGAGCACCGATGCTTTGCAGAGCGCAGCTCCAGGGAGCCCGTCACTGCTAAAGAGGTAAGGGGAGGCACAATGGCCATCCAGCTTGCCCAGGCTATTGTAGCTGGAGGTTAAACTTCGTGCACTGCCTTTTTCTTTCAAACCTGCTTTATCCTTTTGACGGTGGAGAGGTGCAAGGGTGAACCGCGACTTCCCTCCTCCGGTTTCGTTATTCCCCACCAGCCTCGGGAACAATAACTCCTCTGGGGGTGGCGGCGGCAGCGTTGCACGCCTGCTTTGGCTGGGGGGCAAATAGCTGGGGCTTTGCCACAGAGGGCTGAGATTAGCTGGGACCCAGCTCTCCGCTTGCTGGCTGAGGGGGAGGCGTTTTGTAAAAAAATCCATCTTATTAAAGCAGGCTGATAATGATGGGGGCTTGAATTGGGGGTTCTTTGGGACTGGCTGCACTATTCATTCCTGCAGATGGCAAGTTAGATCCACAAAGGAGGAAGGAAGGACACAGATGAGGACATTTGCGCCAGGTCTTTGAACAGACACTATTCTAATAAAAAAAACCCCCACAACTAAGCAACCAAATCCCACAAACTTGGTATTTGGGAGTGATGATTATGCATATATGCTTAAAAGGTAAATCAAGCCTCCATGATGGTTTCTCCCTTTGCTTCCCCTTTGCATCTGGCAGCCTGCTTGCTCTCCCCCATGGCCTCCCCGAGAATTGGGCAGCCCAGCACTGACTAAGGGAGCTTTTTATAATCGATCCATAAAGGTGACATTCATATTTTAGCGCTAAGCAGGCTGTATCGTAGGCGAGACTATCTCAGCAAAGATCCCTGGAGTTGTGAGCGTGATTGGCTTAGCTGGGGAGGGGACGCTGTCAGTGTGTATTCCCAAAAACCGCCTAGTTTATTTTTCCTATAGTAATTTGTCTCAGCAAAGGGGTTTTTAACATGCAGGGTAGGCAAGGCAATTGCTTTGCTTGGTATTTAACTCTTAACAGCATGATCTGGTAACCAAAAAAGAGGGGGGGGGGGCAGCTGAGAGGCTTTCATTAGCATCGGACAGAGACAGCATTTATAAAAACCTGCCAGACACTGAGGCTGTGAGCTGCCTCTGAGGAAGGGAGGATGGAGAAACGTAGCCCAGCGAGCGCTGCGGTGGCCCTGCTTGTGGTAACCCCTGCCTGGAGCCATCCTGGTTCCCCAGCTGGTTCCTGCCCTTCACGGTAGCCCCCCGGGAGATGCCGATTCGGGATCTCGGTTGGCCACCACGGTGCTGGTGGGTCCCTCGGCGCATGAATGTGCCAAGCAGCTGAAAAATGGGATTTTTGTTTTTGCACCGAGCTCTGGGGACACGCTCCCACGTCTGGAGGGCTGTAGCTCTTCTCTGTTTCAGCCCCTGTCTAGACAGGCTGGGTCTGGGGGGGCACCAGCCTCCCCGAGGATGGCGGCGGGCCAGAACATCGCTTTCCCCGCTCCGTGGGGTGAGGAGATGGCTGCTGGCAGCTGGCTGCGGAGATGGAGTGTCTTTTTGACACAGAGACCTTTTTGCTACTGGGGGTGGAAGGAGCAGGGAGAGCAGGGAGGTAAACCTGACTCTTAAACTGGGGCCACTGGCAGTCGCGAGGGATGGAGAAAACGTGATGGCGAGCAGCAGGGAAGAGCCTGTGCGGAAGCTCGTTGGAAAAGGCAGCAGAGGGAAAACAACCTCCAGCTCCTTGGCTGGGGCGGGGGGAGCGACGGCACTGGGGAGACCCGAGCGTGGTGGCAGACAGCATCCGAGATGGGGATTTGCAAAGGAACGCGGCGGCGTGAAAGGAAAGGGCCCATAAAGGTGACTGTGTGCCAGCCGAAGGGTCACGTCCAGAGCCAGAGCATGACAGCTGCCGGCAGAGTGGCCGCCTGTCCGTCCGTCCGTCCATCCCGGGCAGCCCGGGGGTTCCAGCGGGTGGGAAGGAGCACAAAGAAGCACCGAGCGGGAGGGCCGACTCGCCGAGGGCGATTAAGCCAATTAAATATGTATTCCCCCGCCTGGCTGAGGGACAGGCGAGGGGTTTTTCTTTGCTGCCGCTGATGAACAGGGAGTGGCAGACAGAGACTGGTGCCTCTTCAAAAGGCTCCTTCCCCCCTTCTGGGGGACCTTGAAAGGCTGTTTAGTTAAACAAGGTCACAGCCAGCACCCAAGTCAATGTGTTTGGCTTTAAAGAGAGGGAGAGAGACAGTGATTTTATTTGATAAACCGCAGACCTTTCAATCGCTGGTGATGAATGGGGTACTTGGATCTCGAGATAAAAGCTGATGTGTCTACTGCCTGTCTGCCTTAATTGGCCTGGGTTTCCTGCGTTCGCCTGTGAGCGCTCCCGACTGTCAGCTCGGCTTGGAAGCCTGCCCCCCGAAAAATATAAAAGCAAAGCAGGCTGCTGTTGCCGAAGGAAGCCTTGTCACCAGAGAGCCCTGGGGTTTTGCTCCGAGATGGTTTCTTTGGGGAGGGGGAAGATGGACAGGGTTGGGGGTGTTTTTTACAAAGAGCATCCTTCCAGGGAGCTCTGGGCTCGGTGCCGCTTACACACGTCCTTGGCTCGGAGGACTGTCACCCCGGGGGACCCTCGGAGCAAAGCATGACCGCTGGTGGTGGTGGGGAGGGGGAAGATGCCTCCCGGGCCCCAGGTGCCCCCTCCGTGTCGCCTGCCGGGGCTGCAGCGGGGCTGCAGCGTGGAGAAAGGGCTGGGGAGAGGGTGGTGGGGTGGAGCACAGGGAGGGAAGGAGAAGGACAGGAGAGGCTTTCCCTGCTCTCCGGCTGGGCTGGGAGGAGACACCGGTGAGGACATGTTTGTGTCTCCCCTCTTCTCTCAGCCGGCTTTTGCCGTGAGTCCCTTTGTTTGCTGTGGGGATTTAAATGAGGTGGGAGGCAGGATAGTTCCCCAGAGCCCCCCGTGGTGCCGAAGCTCCCGCTCAGCCTCAGCTTCACCGGCGCTGGCAAAGCCGGGTGTTCAGGTGCTGGGCCCCCAGGCTGACCCACAAATTTGAGCTGGGTGCTGGAGAGGGGCAGGGCGCTGCTGGCCATGGGAGCCAGCCTTGGCATGGCCGCAGGACGGGGGTCTCTGCTCCCGCCCCCGCTCCAGGCAGGAGTTAGGTGCAGTGCCTCTGTTAGAGGAGGCTGCCTGGGGACGTGTCTGGGGGGGTTTCGTACCCCCGAGGACGGGGATCCCACAGCCTCGCTGTGCCCTGTTCCCATGCTCGTCCCAGTCAGCTGCTGCCCTGTGCCAGAGCTCTCCCCCACACGCCCACGGGCCAGCCGGAGCCCCCCAAAATGCCTGTGGGCGATCACGCCCGGCTTGTTCTCCCATGTAGGGCAAGCTCAGCTTGTGGGGGCAAACGGCAGCCCCAGGAGGGCACCCTCCGCTCCTGCCCTCAGGCCTCGGGAGCCGGCTGTCTGCCTCCTCTCCCCCAGCAATGCCCAGCATGCTTCGGCTCCCCACCACTGCTCATCCCCCGAACCAGGGAGCCTTCCAGGGCACCTCAGCCTGGGCTGGTCCCACGGGTGAACTGGGGGCAAACCCACTCTGGGTTGCCACTTCATCTGCCCGTCCCATTTTGTCCCTTGCAAGGCTCCCCCTCTTGCACACCCCTTCCCCTTTGCCTCTTATTTTTCTTTTGCCTCTGGGAAACTTCCATTTTTCCAGCCCCTTGTGGACCCGCCGGAGGAAGCTCTTTCTCCTGGCGCCAACCAATCCCCTCAGCATACTAATAGTTTGCTCCAAGCATCGTTATTCAGGTTAAATACCCTCCATTGTCTCTAATCTGGTGGGGAAACCAAAAGGCCTCGTCAGCGAATGCGCGCACAGAGGAGGCGCACCGTGGTGAAGCCATTTTCATCGTGACGGCTCCATGATGTGGCAGAGAACCGAGGGCCGCTTCCCCCAAATTGTCCTGCTTGTCCAGCCCTGACACCTCCTGGGAAGGCGCCAGATCCTGCAGAGACGCTTGAGGGCCACATCGCTTTTTTGCTGCCCAAAAGTGGCCAGGCTGCTCGCCAGCACAGGCAGGGCGGTTGGACATGGGGCACAGGTGGGAGCAGAGAAGCAGCTTGATGGCTGCCGCAGCTTTTGGCTGTCTTGCTTGAGTGCTCCCTGAGCCTTTCCAGGCTCCTTGGGCGTGGGAGAAGGAGATGGTGAGCCTGGGCATGGGGGAAGGAGATGCTGAGCCCGGCGGGCCGGGAGCCGAGCAGCCCCGGTGCAGGGTGGGCCGTGGAGCAGAAGGCAGGCGCCTGTGCTCCAGTTGCTTCGTGGCAGAGAGGAGCCGCTGAAGTGCGAGAAGGGTTTGGTGTGGGCGCGGATGGGAAGCCAGTGAGAGGAGAGACGTTTCGGAGGGGTTTGTGGCCACGGCTGGAAGTCATCTCGGAAGGCAGGAGGAAAGTGGTGGCTTCTGCCCTGGGGTGGGACTCCAGTGTGGCCTCTGTCGCCTGGACCTCGGGGTGAGGCTCTGCTGGGACTGGGACACCAGCTGAGGCGTGGATGGGCACCAGAGCTGGACTGGCAGCAGCCAGGACCCGGTGGCAGGCAGACCCCCGGCAGGGGAAGCAAGCGGAGGTGGGCGAGGGGAATGGGAGCTGCCTGGTCCCTCCCTGAAACTTCAACTGTTCTAGAAACCTTTTCCCATGTCCTTGGTGCCTGCTAATTTCAGAGCGGAGGTGACCCCCTTTCGCACGTACCCCCAGGGCCTCCGCGTCTCAAGGGGCCGCGGATGAGTCAGAAACCAAATTAAATATTCTCTGGGTTTCCCGGTGTGTGCAGGTGTCGTCCCAAAAGATGCCGCATGCCCCAGCGGGGCGGGAAGTCCTGAAGGGGGTGGCAGGGAAGGGGATGGTAACTCCATGGGATGTCAGGCTCCTCAGCTCTGGGTGATGGGGGGAACCCCCGAGCCTGAGGGGTGATGGAGATGGGTGAGCCCCGACCCAGCACCTCCAAAGAGCGGTGCCCCCAAGCACCCCGAGACAGAGGCACCCGGCATCAGGTGCAGCGACCGATGGGAAGAGAAATCGGCAGAGCCACGGCCTTCTGAGCAAGTGGCCGCTGTGCTGATCATGCACCAGAGCATCTCGCTGGGAGGCTTAAAAATGCACAACCCCCTCAATTTCGTGCTCAGGGTGGTTTGGCGAGGACAGCCATGCCCATGCTCGCGCTTGCTCCTGCTCTTCAGCAGGCAGCCTGGCCAGGCCACATTTTGCACATCCTCCGGCAGCTAAAGGTTGCAGGATTTCTGCCCCTTGGGGCTTTAACTCCTTGCAAACTGCATGATACCAGCCAAAAACCAGAGCCTGATGACCGCAGTGGCAGGAGGCTGTGCTTGTGTCGTGGCTCCTCTGAGGTGCCCAAGGGGTGCGTGTGCTGCCGGCGGCCCCGCAACAGCCTCCCGGTGCCCCTTCCCCATAGCGAGCAGTGAGCTGCTGGCTGGGGCTGGCGTTGGGTCTTAAATCCCATAGCGCTGAGGCAACCTCCTCAGACTCCTGCCCTTGACCTACCTGTTGTCTCAGCCTTTTTCCTTCACCCTTTTAGCAGAAATCTCGGGCCCGGGGGGAGATCTCAGAGGCTGGGGCTGGGGACCCAGGCATGCTGGCACTGCGTGGGCATCCTTCCCAAAATGGTCCCTGCCTGTGGCAGCCCGCACTCAGCTGCTCCTTCTCCCAGGGTGTGCTTTTTAGTGACTTCATCTCTAATATGTGGGATTATCTTGGAAAATGAAGGACGAAGCCACAAACAAGGCTCTTTCCTTCCCTTGGGGTTGATTTGCTGGAACATCCTGGGTTGCTCCAAGCCAGGACGGGCTTCCCAGAGTGATTCCCAGTGCCAGGGGGTGGTACCCAGTACCAAAGGCTGACGGCATGCTGCCTGCCCCCACAGATGTGGGGCTGGGAGCAGCGGGGGCCATTCCTGAGAGCAAACTGCCTTTGCCAAAAGCCCCCCCGGGGGCATGTAACCACTCTCCCCTTTGCTCCCCAGGTCACAGGCAGCAGACCCGTGCACCCTTTCTCCTGCCAGCCACCCGCCCGTCCCCAAAACGGAGGAGCCCGCCGGCCCCACCATGTCGTCGGACCCCAGCGCCCCACCGGCGGTGCCGCCCCTGCACTCCCCCAAGTCTCCGGTGTGGCCCACCTTCCCCTTCCAGCGGGAGGGCAGCCGCATCTGGGAGCGGGGCAATCTCCTGCTGCGGGACCTGCCCAGCCCCCTTCCCACCAAGAGGACCAGGACCTACTCGGCGTAAGTACCCGGCACATGGCGAGCGGGCTTGGGACTGTCTGGCTGAGCCGAGCAGGGACTGCGGTCACCAGCAGCACCTGCAGAACCCTTTATGCCTGGTGCACATCGCCATTGCGGAGCTCCAGCGTCACCGCACCCACCTGCCTGGGGTGCTGCGGGTGGGTGCCACGTGCTCTCCCAGGGAACGCCATGTTTTCGTAGCAAACCTCTCCCCGTGCTGCCCCCGGGGTGAGTGCTGCCGGTGACACATCTCTGTCCCTTTCCTCCCGCAGGACAGCACGTGCCTCTGCCGGCCCCATCTTCAAGGGCGTCTGCAAGCAGTTCTCTCGCTCCCAGGGCCACGGGTTCATCACCCCCGAGAACGGCACAGAGGACATTTTCGTCCACGTGTCTGAGTAAGTCCAGGGGCCGTGTGGTGCCAGGATGCCCTGGGGGAGCTGTGCCATCAGCATGGGGCTGGAGACCCGTGGGCTGAGGATGTCTCCATGGGGTGGGTGGGGATGGGGCTCTGCCTGTTCTCTACCTGCCCTCGTCAGTGGGTTTTCTTTCCCAAGGCGCAGCTGGTGGGTCAGGTGCCTTCCTCGGTGCTGGGTGGTCGAGGCGGGGGGTCTGGCTCTTGGCCGCAGCCCTACCGCCTCTCCTCTCCTCTCCTGCAGCATTGAGGGGGAGTACGTCCCAGTGGAGGGGGACGAGGTGACGTACAAGGTCTGCCCCATCCCTCCCAAGAACCAGAAGTTCCAGGCGGTGGAGGTGGTTCTCACCAACCTGGCGCCCCACACGAAGCACGAGACGTGGTCCGGCCAGATCATCGGCTCCTAGGCGCCCAGGGGGGCCACCGGCCGCTCGGCCCCACGGAGCAAGCCTGCCCAGCCGCTCGCAGGGGGCGCGGGGGGAGGCGGGGTGGCGAGGGGGCTGCCCTCCGCGCCCCGAGTGGGGTCCCCCCCCCGGCCGCTCGCAGGGGGCACGGGGGGAGCCGAGGTGGCGACGGGGCTGGGGCTGCCCCCAAACATGCAGGCGTTTGCGTTCAGTGTCTTTTATAAGGTTACGGTTTCCTTTCTCTGTGTGTGTTTGTAAATGTCTGTCGAGGGGGACAGGGGAAGCAGAGCCCTCCCCTGCCGCCCCCCAGCTCCGGGGGCAGCGCCAAGCCCCACATCCCCTTCCTTGCCCCCGAGGCCATGGGGAGCAGGGGAACCAGTCCTGCTCCCCGGCCCCCCCCTGCTGCCCCGGGCTGAAGCAGGTGCTGAGAACAGGAGGGGGCCGGGGGAAGGTTGGTGGGGCTCGGCTCGTCCTCCTGAACCCTGCTCTGGCAAGACGGGCACCCCGCTTGGTCCCGCTGCCCGCAGCATGGCAGCAGCAGGGCATGCCGTGGGGCTGGGGGAAAACGGAGCGGCGTGGGGCAGCATATCACTGTGCGAGGACTGGGTGGCTGAGCCCCATACCCATTGCTGGCAGCTCACGGCACCCGCCTGAGCCACATCCCTCCATCAAACGATCTCAGGTCAGCGGTGCCACGGGGAGGCGAGTGGCTTACAGAAAGAAAAAAATTAGTTTTAAGGGGCAAATGGCTGCTGGCAGGGCGCCGGGGGCACTTGGCGTTGTGCCTGGGGTCTGTGCCTGGGCGTGGGGAAGGGGTGCACTTGGCACCTCTGTGCACCCTGCTGCTGCTGGGCCAGTAACGCACTTTTCTTGGCTCGGTGCTGACATGGTTTTGGGGAGATGGCTGCCTTCTCCTCCTCCTCCCCTTGTCCCCCCAGCCCCCTGGGGACCCCCCTTCCTACGCGTGCGTGTGTGTGTGTGCACGTGTGTGTGTGCACGTCCGTAGCTTGCCGAAGGGGCGAGGGGCTGTGAGGGGTTTGAGTAGCCTCAGCCGTGGGGTGAGCGCAGCCACCTCCTCCCCAGCCCCTCGGTGTAGGCAGGGTCTCGTATACAAAGCACAAACTTCGTTTTTGGTCTTCTCCGCCATGCCCTGGCCAGGCGGGCTCCCACGGCCTCGGGGAGGGACAGGGCAGAGGACAGTGGGGTGGGGGAGGCTTGCACCCAGCTGGGCCTGAACTGACCCCAGGGAAACGATGCCTGCACATGTGCTCCAGAGATTATCAGCATCTTAAGGGGTTTATTTCGACACAGGGCAAGCAGCAGGGTGACAACTGCTGGCTCCCCAGGCACCTGCTCGGCGGGAGCACCGGTGCTGCCGGTACTCAGCGCTGATGGAGAGAGGCATTTCCCCCCTTTCTTGCCGCCGCTGTTGTGGTGGGGACAGGGGTTTGCCATAAGCAGGGAGGAGGGGGGCAAGGCTGGTGCCACACGGGACAGCTGGGGCCCTGTGGGTTCAGGAGGACCACCGCGTGCTGCCCCAGCCCAGGCTGGTGTGGGGACTGCCCCGGGAGCCCGCGGCCCAATCTCACTGCCAACCCGAAGCCCGGCTCACCCAGGGGCTGCAGTGACACCAGCTCAGGCCCCAGGCATCCCCGGGACACGCAGTCAGCTTGGCCAAGGCAAACTTTGTTTGATTCTTTTTTTTCTCTCTCTCCTTTTGTTTTGGAAATAAACTAAAACCCTAGACTTATTGGTGTTTTTACAACTCCGGTGTGGTTCCTGCCTGTCTGACCATGTGTCGACCTTTGTAACGTTGGCAATAAACCATTAAAAGTGACTTTCCCATGAGCCCTGCCCATCCCGGCTCTTTGTCCTGTGTGCGTGTGTTGCAGTGGGGATGCTGGTGACTCTCCTGGGTAAAGGACCTGGAGCGCCCAGGGATTTATCCGGACAGCAGGACAGACTCAGCCGCCTCCGCACAGCATGTCCCAGGGGGTTCTGGGGTGCTCCAGCCTTGCTCGGGGGGACCAGACCCTGAGCCTGGGTCAGGAGGCTGCTGTCCACCAGGAGGGGTGACCGGGACCAGGGCTGGTCCCCTGCTGCCACAAGGATTTCCAAGTGCAGCTGCCTGACCTCTGGCTGTGTTTCACCCCAGCAGAGCCCAGCACAAAGCACACGCTGCCTCCAACCGCTGCATGTTGTAGCTTTAATACGATTGATTTTATTTTTATTAATATACATATATATGTATTTAAATATATTTCTTATTTAACAGTTGGTATCAGCCAGACAGGAGCCGCCCATCTTGCACCGATATGGAGCCATATGGCACGACGGTCCCCGACGTGGGGCCCTCCCCATCCTCTCGCTCACACACACGTGGGGAGAAACCCCCATTCCTGCCATGGGCACCCACCGGGAGAGGAGCATCTGATGCTGTCCTCCTCCTCATTCTTCCAGCAGGACAGGGTCTCCTGGCGGGAGGTGCCCTCAACTAGCCCAAGCTAGTGGGTGTAAGACAGAGAGAGGAATGGGGAAGGTTCCTGAGCTTGATCTCACCCATGCACACGTGAGCTCCTGAGCAGAGAAAGCGATGGCTGGTGCCTTGAAGGCCATCCCTGCCTCTGCCCTCCTCGCCCTGCAACTCTCCCCACCCTGAGGAAGGGACGTGCTGCTATCAGGAGCAGCCTTGGACAGAACCTGCCCTTCCCTTCAAATATGCAAGGCATCTCAGCCCCAAGGCCACCACGGTGCCTCGTGCCTTCAGGGCTAGGCCCAGCTCTCTACTCACCACCAAGCTCTCTAGAGATCCTGCTGACTTTGAATAGACTTACAGGAAAAATAACCCCCCCAAACCCACACATAACCTGATCCAGAGTGAAACAGAGAAGGAGGAACCACAAAACACACAATTCCTCCATGGAGGTTGCAGTGGAGGGCCAAAACCAGTGGCCTGTGAAAAGGGTACCCTGCATCCAGGCTTCCCCAACAGGTCCTCTTCCCCCACACAGAAATTTTCTCTGGGTAGAAAGAGGAATTTGTGCATTTGTTGGGGATTTCCAGATGCTGGGCAGACCGCTGCGCTCATGCAAATGTCATGCATTACAGGTTTGATGTGTTGTAGAGTTAAGAGTGGAGTCAGGTGGAGGAGGCATGCAGCACCCCTGCTCCTGCGCCCAGGCAGCAGTGCCAAGGTCCACTCAGGACTCTGCCCGTGGCAACGTGGGAGCCCTGCCCTGGGTCTAAAAGCACCAATGTATCTCGCCTGAGGAACTTGGCCCCGTGATGAAGTGGCAGTAGCCAGCTGAGAAACTTCTCTCTGCAGTCCAGCTGCTAGGTGGGAGATGAAGAGCAACAGCGAGGAAAACAGAAACAGGAGAAAAAGAGGAGAGAAAACAAGACCAAGAGACGTGGCAGTGCCACACCAGCAGGGATGTGGTCCCCGGGAGCCATGTGGGGGGCTTTCGCAGGAACCTCTGGCACCCTCCAGGTCCACAAACACCAGACACGTGTGCCCTGGGGAGCTATAAGCAGGACATCTCCCTGGAGGGGATCCCCGAGGTCCTCTTGAGCACCAAGGTGTGACTAGCGTCACTGGTGCGGTCACACACCCCAGCATAATGGCCAGGAATAAAGGGGCAATGTGAGGGAGGAGGTCAAGGGCCAAAGGAGAAATGTGATTTTGCAACCCATGAAGACCCAGGAGAAGAGAGGAGCAGGAGGAAACATGACAGCTGCACTGGTGAACATGCGTCCCTACAGGTGACCATGTAAACCAAGCGTGTGGGACAAGATGGGGTGGAAAAGCAAGCTTGGAGGGCACTGTTGAGTGTGCACCTCCAGTGGCACTAGAAACCAGGTCTGGCCTGTGTTGGCCCTCTCTGAAAATGTCTCTGGCAGCACGATGGAAAGCTGAGCACTGGGAAAGAAGGGGACTCAGTCTGTTATGAATACCCTGGGTAAGGTTTTACACTGGCACATCTGTGATGCCTAATGGAGACGTGGGTGGGAAGACTGTTGGGAAGCCTTCTGCCCCCAACAGCTCCGCAGCGTGCTCTGCACACGCCAGGCACCTGGGGTCCTCCAGCTGCGCCAGGCAAGGTCTGACTTAACAAATTCTGCAGAACATGGAAAAGAAACCCACAGTAGCCATTTTTTTGGTAAGCTGAAGAGAGAATTAGTTTCTTCATGCACCTGAGCAAAGCTCAGAGCAGAAGCAGAGTCATTTTAAAACTGTCATTCCCAGGTCACCTGTAGGGACTGGCACGGTGTGGCACTGAGGTGAAGGACATGGTGATCCTCTCCATTAGGATGCACAACGCTGCAACTAGCTGGTGTTGCAGCTACCTCTTCCTACCATGGGCATGGAGCAAACAGCCTTCCCGGCCTCTCGCTTTGGAGCAGCTCTGGTGAGAGCGCCTGGGGCCTCAGCAGCCCCACTCTCCCCAGCCAAGGCGCGAGGGGGAGAGAAAGGTGAGACGCATGTTCCCTCCTGCGGAGGTGTTAAGAGAAACAGCGAAAAAGAAGAGAAGATGGGAGGGAGCACAGGATGGACACCTACGTGCTGTCGTGACTGGCCTTTTCAAATGCCTTCCAACCATGAAAGCATCTGCATTGCCGTCCACCATGGCCCGAACTGTCAAGAGAGAAGTTTTGCTGGAGGTGAGGAGTGTCTGGTCCCACAAGCTCCAGCCGTAGATGGGGAGTGCCGAAGGGCTGCTCAGCGAAGGCCCCCTCCTGCACACCCACCCGCACTCACGCGTTACATCCCGACCAGCCCTGGAAAGTGGTTTTTTCCCATCTACCCTGAGCAGATTCCTCAAATGAAGGTGCTTTTCCTGGCGGGGGGAGAGGGTGGGGCCGGGGCAGGGCTGCGGGGACCTGGCCGTCAGCACTCGTTTGCTCTCTCTGGAAAGAAGATTTCACGGCATCGCTGGACCGTGTCCTGGGGGGACTGGACGCTGTGTCCCACTGTGCGGGGATCGTCATAGATTTCATAATCATTCCCTCCCTGCAGGAGAACAGAAAATACGGAAAATGTCAGCAGGGTCTCAACAGAGCATCCTCATCCGTGAACCCACATCTTGCTCTGTGTTGTGAGGAGCTGGGGTGGGAGCTAGCAGCTGGGCAGGCAGCGACCGGCTGGGAAGGCGCTGCCAGGGCTTTGCTGGCCCAGGGGGGCAGAAGAGGCTGGGCTGGGAGCCCTGCTCCCTCCCTCTTGCCTCCCCTCTTCGGTGCCAGGGGAGAAGCATAGAAAAGATGCAGAAGGTCCTAGACCAGCAAAGCTTAGCGTCCAGGAGCCTGGAGTTAACCCCTGCCCTGCCTGTGGAGGGGCTAGCAGAAGGTGGGGTGGGCATATCTGGGGGGCAGCGGTTGCCATCATCTGGAAAGAGCCGAGCGGGTGGCCAAGCCGGTCTACATCAGCAAGGAAGCACCATCCTCCACCACTCTAAAGGGAAGGTGAAGCTGTTCCTGCTGTTGAAATGCCCTCTCCTAAGTGCTGGGGGCTCATGTTTTGGGTCCTGAGGGCTGCAGGAGTGGCTGCCACCCTCCCGAGGGTGCGGGGGGCAGGAAAGTGATGCTGAGGGAGACCTGCTCCCCAGCACAGTGAATCCAGGGTGATTTCCCCGTGATCCAGCGGGCCTGCCGCAAACATGCACCACACGAGAGCATCTCTCCCCCTCGCACCGCTAGAGGTCTGTGTCGGCCACCGGCGGGACGCAGGCCGTGGGACCCATGATGGAGCAGCTCCACGCAGGCTTGCCAGGCCAAAGGAGGGAAAGCAGCCGTGTGTGGGGCGAGCAGGGCATACTCACAGGGGTCGTCTCGTTCCCAAAGAAGTGGATGGTGTCAAATCTCTCGTCGTCAAGCACATTGAGGCAGTAGCGCTTGTCCCAGCCCTCCGGGAAGACGTCAAAGCTGATCATGCCACCTGTCAGCAGAAGGGAGGGCATTGGGCGACGCTGGTGGGAGCTGGCAGGGCGTCCCCCCACCACAGGACAGGCAGGAGGAGGGGAGAGGACTGGATGTGCACGGGGAGCCCCCCGCAAGCAGCAGCCAGGCACCAGCTCTGCCTTGGTGTGCCTCTCCGGCATGTGGCTAGGGCAGTGGCAGATGCTGTTCCTATGACAACAGGCTGGAGTGACATCAGCATGGCAGGGGTGACATCAGCACAGCTCCCCTGACTGCAGGCTGGCAGGCAAGGAGCAACCAGAGGGCTGCAGGGGGGGATGCTGGGGTGGGAGGTCCCAAGAGATGCATCTGTTGGGGGACATTTGGGGTCATGCCTTGCAGATAGCATCAGCACGTTCTGTGTCCCAACGGGGGACAGTGCCCTCAGAGACCGGCACCACTTTCTCTCCTAGGCTCCTGTGTGGACATCAGACATCGCTGGCCCTTCTTACAACCACCGCTCTGACGCTTCTTAACCCTACAGGGAGCGGGGGCCCCCAGCACCCTGCACACAAAAAGCAAACCCCACGCACCACACAGCTCAGGGGTCCCAGCTGGCTGCGCTGCAGGCCCCGAGGAGGCTCCGCACGCTGATCAAGGACCTTGCCACGGAGGTGCCACGAACCCGTCGCCATAATCGGGGCACGACCCTGGCCTCTCACCTCAAGAGTCAAGTGCGGGTTGCCAACATCTGGAGGGGCACCAAGGCAGCCAGGGCAAAGGTACAGAGGTAAGGGAGCTTTCCCAGAGAGCACGCATATGCGTGCACATGGACACCCATGGCCACCAAGGGTTAACGAGCTTCCTAGCCCTTGCTCTTAGACCAGGCAGAGTTTATTCCAGCACTGCGCTGCCTTTTGAGGGTGCACGGAGGCAGCGCCTTCCCGTCCTCTCGAGCTGCCCCGCTGTGTGCACAGCCTGCAGAGCCAGTCCCTTGTCCCATCGCTGACACAGGTAACACACTCCTCCCAAAACAAAGCCAGCAACTGAGGGCATGCATATGTTTTGGGTCTTGCTCAGAGCCTGGAGGAATGGGGATTTGAGCTGGGATGTGCCTTTCCCTGCCAGATCAGGTCTCTGCTCCTCTTGGTTTTGAGGGGGCCCCCTGCTTCTCCAGGCAATCTACTGGGCCACCAGCAATCCTGGAGTTTCACACTCTCCTTCTTCATAAATCATAACCTCGCCTCTCTTAGGAAGGGGGTGAGTAGACAGGCACCCTCAGGGGACAGTCCCTGCTGCAGGAGGCACTGATCCCCTGGGCAGTTCAAACATGTACGTCCTGATGCTGTGCTCCTCTCTTCCCTGGCTGGTTGAGGTGTCCCCGTTGGTTTGAGGATCCAAAACCAACCCTCCTCAGAGTCTGAGGAGCCAGGGATGGAGTCTGTGTGTCCAGCTCGAGGCAGAGGATTCGCTACCAGACAGGATGCCCTGGGCAGGGCACTGCAATATGGACAGGAGCAAGTGCCCTATCAGCTCAGGGATGGGGATGCCCCAGGCTCACAGCAGGAGCCAGCATCAGAGCAGGAGCTAAATTTGGTTGCCTTCATTAAAATCCTTCCTGGTTTTGTATGCAAAGCCATTTACCTGAGCAAAACGCTGCATTTCGCTGCATTCTGGTCTTTTAAACAGCTGGGCGGCAAGAAGGGGCTCCTGATACCAGCTGGAGAGGGTAGGAAATCAAAGGGAGAAGAGGTGGTGTGGAGGACAGCCAGTGCTGTCCCTCACCTAGGCAGAGCACGGGTCTGGGGGCTGCAGGGAGATCTCCTACCACCTCTGGGGCTTGTGTCCTCCACAGCCTGGGACAAGCCATGGGGAGCCAGCTTGGCACAAGTGCCCTGTTTCTGCGTGTCCCTGTTTTTGGATGCCTGACCTGAGACACCCCGTGTTTTCTTTGTGGAGGAGCGGGGGGCCCGCAGCTCCCCTTATCTTTACGCTTTTACACAACGGGCTCTTCATGGCGACTTCCCAAAGTCAGAGGAGAAAGGCCCAGTGTTCTGCTCTCGTCCCCCGTGCCTGCGGGGACACGGCGGCAGGGACCTTGTCTTTCTCTGCTGTGACAAACGGTGTGTCAGTGCTGCGGGCAGCACAGGATGCCCCTGGCAGGACGCTGAAGGCAAGGGGAGGCTCTCAGAAGGAAAGTCCTTGGAGAACCAGAGGGCCAGACCCTTGGTACTGGCCCATGCTGGGTGCAAGAGTGGGGTGTCACCTGCCGCCTCCCAGCCTCGTCACCCCCTTGCCCTTTGGCTAGGCTACCACACGACACCTTCTTATCTCACACATACCCATCTGCTCTGCAGAGGGTCTTCTTCCAGCATCAGCCCCACCACTTACACACCCTCATTTTCCTCTCTGTCCTGGCCAGATCCCCAGGATTGCTCAAGCCCCTCCTTTGGTTCCTCATCTTCGGTAAGCTGGCTGTAAGAGCCACCCCAAGAAGTCGCCCTGCAAGTCCACGGCACGGAGCTGCAAACTCCTTGCCTCTCAGCAGCTCTTCCTCCAGGAAGAAAGATGTTTCCCTTGTAGCCAACCCTCCCAAGAAAACCCCAGAGCCAAGATATGCATTAAGGCTCCTGTCTCATTCCTAGAGAGGAGTGCATGTGCCTGGAGCTCTGCTGGCCACCCTGGTGCTGATGCTTGAGCCAGAACAGACCTTCTGGGCAGGGGCGGGCCCTCCAGAGCTAACTGAAATTAAGGCAGGGATAATGTCACGGGACAGAAACCCACCTGTCTGGCTGATTCCCAGGGAGGCAAATCTACAGCACAGTTTGTTCTCTGCTGTCACCCTGCCACAGATGTGAACGTGATGCCCCTGCAGGGGCTCTCCAGGACTAGAAGCTCTTTATGCTCTTCCTGGCATCTCCAGGCCCCCAGAGGGAAGAGCTGGGATTCCCGGTCCCCTTCCCAGCATTTTATGGGAAATAAGATAAAGAGGCCAAGGCAAAGCCTGGGAAGCCCCCTCTGCTCACCTCGAGAGAAACGCAGGCCTTTGCCAGCAAACTCCCTCTGCAAGGCTGCCACAAACTTCTCCCGGATCCGCTCTTTCTGTGGAGGAGAAGGAGGAAAGGGAAGGAAAGAGGGTTTGAATAATTAGATGTTGACAGTCTACCAGAATCCACCATAAACTGTCTGCTGGGCAACTCTGGCTTATTGCTCTGCTCCCTTCCCACCTGCCCCGAGCCCCAGTATAACGCCATTTAGCCAACTTTCACCAGTCTTGCCCAGTGTCCATGTAAAAGGCCACCAGCCAAGGGTAGCTTCAGCAGGCTCCTGGGAAGAGCAGATCCCAGCCCTTCCTTGGCAATGAAATGCAACTGCTTCAGTTTCCCAAAGCAGAGTTCATAACCCAAAGTCTCCAGCTTTGCTTAAAAAGTCTTGTAAAGTCCAACTGATCCCTCAAGCCCAAAAAAGCTCCTCCAGGCAGAAACTGCTGTGAGCATGGGGCAAGCACTCCACAGATCTGCCTAGCAGATCCACCGTGACCCTCCCAGTCTGGAAAGCCCATTAGTTCCAGCTGTGTTGGGGCTGGGAGAGTGAGAGAGAGAAGACAGCTGCTCGGCCATCTTTGGTTACTGTAAATGAGGAAACACCCTGCTAAATAAGTGCCTTATTTCCTGGGGCTCTCCCACAGCAGAAGGAATCCTGCTGGCCACCCCATTGCATTGGTGGTTCCCAATGAAGTAAAATTCTTTCATTCATCTGTGTCTCTCCTTGGGTTTTCTGACCTCCAGTCCTGTCCCCACCTTGCTGCACATGTTGGCCTGGTGCACACCTTGGAGCTGGGCTCCTTTCTCCTTGGGGTGGTGGGAACACGAGATCTGCAGTGGTGCAAAACCAGCAAAGGGGAGGGTGAGCCCGAGTCTGGCCCATCTACCTTGTCCAGCTCGGAGAACTCAATTCGCTCCTCTGGCGTGCAGCTCCGTCCGATGGGGGAGATGTTCAGCATCCCGTTGCGAAACTCAATGAAGGTTCCTCTGTGGGTGGGCAAGGGCACAAGGTTACTGGCACAGGGAGAGAAAAACAGACCTTTCCAGGGGAACGGCTGCTCGGTGAGATGCAGTCTCTGCAGGGACACGCAGGAGGAGAGAAGCCATGCCCACTCATGGGTGCTTCATGCCAGGCAGAGACCAGGTATCAACAACTCTGCTTAAGGTCTCCAAGGGGCTCATAAAAAGAGACTGTAAGAGAAGAGGAATGAACAGTTCCTGTGTGCCCTGGGGACAGGCTGGAAGCAACGAGCTTAGGTGAGATGACAGAAAACATTTTTTAATGTTGTAATAACTGCAAAGACAGCTATTGCCTGGACTGGACCAACCGCCTGACCAGACTGTGGCGTCTCCACCCCTGGATGCTTTTAAGAAACGTGAAGCTGGCAGTACCCTGGGGCAGTGGGATGGAATAGGTCAGTGTAACTTGCTGCTGCAATCTGGCGGCAGGCTGATGAGCAATCAGGACCTCCTCGTGGGGGACAAATCAGGTAGGACCCGCAGGGCCTCTGTATCTCCTGTTTGTCCCCTGCACCTTTGACTGCAACTCTTATCTTATCTAAGCCTGCACAGACAGGACCCAGTTCCTGCTTGCCACCCTCTCCTTGCGCTGGGATCACTACTCCGCCACTTCCTCGGCAGGCTGGTTCAAAGCACTAAGCTGGCAGAAAACTGCTCCCTTTTCTTTTTGCTAGAAACCCAGCCAGTTCTGTTTGCTTATCACCTTGGGATAGCTCACTGACAGGCCAAACAGGTACCAGCACTGGTGGGGCAGAAACAACAGGGGATGGCAGTACTGCCAATTTGAAAATAGATTGAAACTCTTGTGGAAACCTAGCTGGAGCAAGGAGATCCCCTTCCCTGTCCAGCTGAGGAGCCCTGAGCTCATTAACCCTCTAATATCCCTCCCAGCCCTGCCTGCTGTTTCTCTGTGATAAAGTGCTTACCACTCTGCTTCTGGGGGAAAAACTCTACGCCTCCTGTCTCGGACCACAGTGAAGAACTTCATGGGGAACGGACACACGGGCAGCCATTCCTGCAGCCTGGGAGCAGCATCTCTGCAGCACCAAGGGTTTGGTGGCTCATGCCCCAGGCCAAGACTCAGGAGATGCGGGTTAAAGTCCTTGCTTTGCTAGAAATCCCATAAGCTTAAATCCACAGAGACATTTGGGAGCTGAAACTTGGCCAGGCTGTTGGGCAACCAGACAGCAATGAGGCAACCAAACAGCCTTGAGGGTTCTGGGTCCCAGCCTACGCTTTTGGGGGCCTGTTCATCCGGCAGTCCTGTTGCAAGGAGCCACCCTGGCCCCTTTCACCGGTCCTCATATGGATTGCCATATGGTGGCACATCAGGCAACTCATCCGGATCACAGTTTAGCAACTTTTACCAGCTTAATTTCAACCAGACAGCTCGCCTGCTCGGGTTCACTGTACAAACACAAGGGGAGAGCAGGAACAAACCAGCTGAAGCGAGAGGAGGGTAGAGTTGCTGCTTTCAACAGCTCTGCTGGCTCACGCCGGCTTCAAGCATTTGTGAAACCGTGGTTTGAGGGGTGGTTTGACACTGCACCCAGGCTGGTTTAACTGCAGGCTGCCTCTGAAAGAGGTCCTCCTGCTCTCCCCTTCCACCTTCATGCCATCTGTTCCCTCCCTCTCTTTTCTGTGATAACAGGGCAAGCTGATCCAATGGAAAACTACCCTTTTCTTTCCTGGCAGTGCCCTAGTCTTCCTTCAGAGGAGGTGTACCAACCCAACTCACCCCATGGCTGCTGGATCTCATGGGGGGAAGCAGACAGGAACACAGGGTCGGGGGCAGAGCAGGGCCAGCCCTATTACCAGTGGCACCAAGTGAGACTGGGTTAGAAACAGTGTGAAACTCTGTGCTCAGGCGCTGGACCTCCCATCTTAGGAGCCATTGTTCATCTGTTTGGAAACTCATACAACCAATGATGCCCGATGCCCTGACCAGTAACGAGCTGGTACCATTGTCTTAAATGAGATGCACACAGTGGCTGTACCCTGATGCATGCAGTGGCTGTACCCTGATTCCCAGGGAAGAAAATCCGAGGGGCAAAAGAGCAGGCACTATGCTAAAAAATAGTGCGGACTCTCCAGAACAAAGACCCTCCTCCATTATTTGCCCACAGTGCCCAGCTCGGTGGGACAGTGATCCTACACAGGGCCTCTAGATGCTAAGATAAAACCTGGAGCAAGACGGGCTCAGTAGCTCAGCTGTTCTTAGGAGAGATCTGGAGCCCAGAACTCCCTAGAAATCAGTGCTGTGACTGCCATTTGCATGGGCTTGGGCCGTTACCGTTTCTTGGGCAGCTTCAGCAGTGCCATGTAGTTGAGACAGAAGTTGATTAGATCCTGCAGCAGCTCTTCCCCCAGGTGGTCCTGAATGGCCTGTGGGAGGAGAAGGAGGAGTGAGGAAGATGCCTGACCTCCCGTGAAGCCCACCCGAGAACATGACCTGGAGGAGCGGGACATTCAGATCCGAGATTTGGGGAGAAGAAAAGAGGCTGCCCATCTGCCCGGGGCCAGGAGCTGCTCCCCACAGCGCGCAGGGCACGGGGAAGGAGAGCCATGGCTGCAAGGGGAGCTGGACCTACCTGCTTGGAGACCAGCTGCCCATTCTTGTATTGCACTGTGCCATTCTCTGCGAAGACATAGTCAAACTTATCGATGACTGAGGGGGGAGGAAATAAAAGAAGAAATGTGAGTACTGCCTGGGAAAAGGGGCCAAAAGGACTGGGCTCAGGACTGAGCGAGCCATCCTCCCGGTTCCTTAGTACCGTGCTTTCCACATCTCCCGTGCTCCGCAAAGGGCCACCGACCCTCCTCGCTCTCCGCAAAGTGGGTGAGGAGATTATCTTCTGCCCACAGGTGGGGAGATGACGCACGCAGGGGGAAACGACCTGACCAAGGTCACGGGCTGAATCAGTGGCAGGACGAAGATAAGGGCCCCAAAACGTCGGGCTTTCAGCCACGTGCGTGACTCTGCTCTCGCTCTCTCCTCCCCTCCGCGCTGCCAGCGTGCTGGGCAATGCAGTCACCGGTGAGATACAACCCCAGCCCCTCCTGCCACCTGGGCACGCAGCACTGCCGACTCAGCAATCGGCCTCAGCCGGGAATTTCTCGGCCTCCCTTCGCTAAGGAGGCAGGAGGCAGAGCTGGGAGCCCAGCCGCGCTTGGCATCCATGCCAGAGAAGGGAAACAAGGTGGAGGGAGCGGGGGCTGCTCCTCTGCCCCGCGTCCCTGTTTGAACACGACGAGGAGCCCCGCGGAGACCCCGCCACGGAGCAGCAGGGAGGTAACGTTTGCGAGGGGCTCCTGCCGGCTGCGTGCGTGGGGAAGCCGTCAGAGCCCGGGCGAAGCTCGTACAAAGCCGAGGCCGGAGCAGCGGGGGCGGGAGCATCCCTGCCCGCTCTCCGCAGAGGGAGAAGGAGCCGAGCGGCGGCGCCGGCCCGGGCGCG